GTGCCGCCGCTCAGCCCTTGCCCTGCCCGCAGTGCCGAGGGAGTGCGGCCCGGCCGAGTTCCCCTGCCGGAGCGGGCAGTGCGTGGCCCTGGCCCTGCATTGCGATGGTGACCGTGACTGCCCGGACGGCTCGGATGAGGAGGGCTGTGCTGTGCCCCGGCCGCTGCTCTGCCGTGCGGGCGAGGTGATGTGTCCCCACAGCAGGGAGTGTGTGCCAGACGCCTGGCGCTGCGATGGTGCTGCTGACTGCGGGGACGGAACAGACGAGCAGGTGGGTGAAGCGGTGGAGACACGGCCTGTCCCTGCTCGTGCCCGCCTGAGCTGGTAGCCCTGTTCACCCTCTGCCCTTGCAGGGCTGTCCCAGGGAGGGTGAGCTGTGTGGGGACTGGCAGTGGAGCTGCTCCCATGGCCGTGAGTGCATCCCTGATGTCTGGCACTGTGATGGAGAGATTGACTGCACAGATGGCAGCGACGAGGCTGACTGTGAGCAACTCCCTGATTTTATCCCCTCTGTGTCTCACCAGGGGGTGGCTGATGGGTGCCCAGCACAGAGGGAGATGGAGATGTGTTTGTGCTGGGGTAAAAGACCCTGCGTGTTCATTGCCTATTCCAAGCATCTGTGGTGGCTCCAGGCCCTGGGTAGCTGTCCCGGTAGGGCTGGTGGCCTTTGGATTAGTACAGCCTGAAGCCAGGCTATTGGCACAGCTCTGGATGTGGCTGCAGTGAGCCCTGGGCAGCCTCTGGGATCGGCTAAATTTGTCTCAAATGAGCAAAAGGAGTTGGTGGATGAGGCTCAGGGCAGCCTTCCCCACATGTCCCTGCAGGCCAGCCTGCTCCCTGCCGGAGTCAAGAGTACCCCTGTGGGCTGGGGGCCTGCCTGAATGCATCCCTGGTGTGTGACGGCCAGCAGCACTGCGTGGATGGCTCAGACGAGGGGGGGAACTGCTCTGTGCCCTGTCAGCATTCCTGTGCTCATCTCTGCTACCCCTCACCCCAGGGCCCTGTGAGTGCCAGCAGCCCTGGGCCCGGGGCTTGCCATGCCATGACACCCTGGGCCAGCTGTAGGAGGGAGCCTCATGCATCCCCAAGGTGATGGACCCTTTCCCCACAGCGGTGCTGGTGTGGCCCAGGCTATCGACTTGCTGAGGATGGTCTGTCCTGCATGGACATAGATGAGTGCACGGAATGGGGCAAAGGAGCCTGCAGCCAGACGTGCCTCAATGCCCCAGGGTCCTACAGCTGTGGCTGTCTCCCTGGCTATCTGCTGGAGCCTGATGGCCACTTCTGCAAACTCACTGGTAAGCCCTGGGATGGCCAAGCGGCTCTGAGGATCCCTGGCATTCTAGGGTACATTAGGAGCTGGTGGGTACCTCTCCCCCTGTGCCTGCTGCCCACAGGGAACTCTGTAGTCTTGTGAATGGTACCTGTCCCCTTTGCCATGTTGCTTCCCAGGCCACACTCAGCTGTGAGCTGCTGTTTGCCAGCCCATGGCTGGTCAGAAAATCCATCGGCATTATCTGGGAACATGCTGTGTGGTAGAGCTGAGTCCAGCATGCCCCAGTGCCTGCAAGTGCCAAGTTCCCTGCCTGCATGTGCTGTTGCCATGGGGCCACTAGTGCTGAGCAGGGTCTGGGTGTCTCTGTGTTACCCCAGGACCAGAGCCCGTGTTGCTGGTGGCTGTGCAGTCAGAGGTGTTGTCCTATGGTCTGCGGAGTGGGCGTGAGAAGGTACTGCTGGCCACTGACAAGGATCGAGTTGTCTTCTCACTTGACTATGACTTGGTGGAGAAAAAAGTCTTCTGGATGGACCTGGCTACAGAGAGCATCCGCTGGCAGGACCTCAACTCGGGCAAGAAAGGCACATTGGTGAAAGGTGGGCTGTGGCAGCATGGGGTTAGCAGGGTTGGCTTCTCTGTCACTGCACACTCTCCAGGTTGCAGTGGGGTGCCAGCCTGTGTCCCCTTGTGTGGAGAGGTGCTAGGGGGAGCAAGGTTGGGAAGAGCCAGTGTTCCTGGGATGGAGAGGACCTGGGCTGGGAGCATTGTGCCAGAGGGCCATGCAGCTGCCATCCCACAGCTACTGAATCTTGGATGCATTGCAGGAGTCAGATCAGACTGTATAGCAGTGGACTGGCTTGGGAGGAACCTGTACTGGACAGATGGGGCAGCAGGGCAGGTACTGGCCACTCGCTTGGGGGCCACCTGGCAAGGGATACCAGAGTACACTGTGGTGATGGATGGAGACCTGGACCAGCCCCACTCTCTGGTGCTTCAGCCTCTGGCAGGGTAAGTCTGGGACAAGGTGATATGGGCCTCTCCTTGCCATCCCTGCCCTGCCCCATTTTCCTCCAGAAAGGCAGGTGGCAGGCTGAGGTAGATGGCCTCACCTGGGTATTCCTGGGGTTGTGTGACTGGGGAAGAAAGAACCCGGGCACCTGCCCCTGGCCTGTATGGAGCTCTCAGCATGTTCCTGATGGGATGGGAAGCTCCGTGCTGCTTTTCTGCTTTGCCTTGATACTGTGTCAGGTACTTGATGCTGTGTCAGGTCCATGGGCCAGCACATCTCTTCCCACTAGGATGCTGTACTGGTCAGAGGTGGGGACCCACCCACGTCTCATGAAGGCCGCTATGGATGGGAGTCGACAGCATGTGCTGCTGGCCCAGGGGCTGGGCTGGCCCACAGCACTCGCCCTCGACCTCTCCACCCAGAGAATCTTCTGGCTGGATGAGAAGCTGGGCAGTATCAGTTCTGCACATCTAGATGGCACCAGTGTGAAGGTGTGTGGTGGGGCACTGGTGATGGGGCCCCGATGGGGATCGGAGTGGGTGCTTATGGCTGTTTGACAGGTCCTGAAGCTGGGCTGGATCCAGAGCCCCTTCGCGGCAGCTGTGTGCGAGGGGCAGCTCTACTGGTCGGAGAGGAAGACATGGTCTGTGCAGCAGGTGGACAAGGCCAGCGGCAAGAACAGGACCGTGCTGCTCAAGCGACATGGGCAGCCCCATGGCCTCCAGGTACTTGGGGAGCCTCAAACCCTGCTGTGCCAGCTCTGCTGAGTCTCCCACCTTGCACGGCCCTGTTTTCCTCTGAGTATGGAGCCGCTGGGAGCTGTAACCCCATCCCAGTGGTTCTTGGGCAGCAGCCTCTGTGGCCAAAGGTCTCTGGCTCTCTTGGAGCATCTCTGCCTCACCATTCTGCCCTGACCTGGGCTGTGTCTGAGCCTCTGGAGCATGGTGTGGTGTCACTCATGCTCAGCAACACTGGCGGGTCCTGATG